GAGAGAGTAAGATACAGGGTAGCAGGGAGTTTAGGAAGGGGATAAGGTCCTGATATACAGTATAAAATGCTGGATTTCACACAATCGATTTGTGTTGTGACAACATAAAGGAATTAAGTTAAGTTATTAGTTGCATTAGTTTAGTGAACTGAACATAAAAAAATAAGTTGTCCCAACGGAATCTCAAGAATTGTGTTGTTTCAGCTTATAGAAAATAAGTAGTTTGAACAAGCAAATCAAAGAATGAATGGAAATGATGTCATTTTGAATAACATATGACCAAAACAAACTTATTTTTGAGTTTAATTTTTCAGCAGTTCAAAACAGTTCACCAAAGCAAACCTTTTGGGGGGAGTTTAAGCTACCTTCTAGCTAGCATTGGTCTGTTTCAATTATGCAATCAGTGTGAGTGTTCTGGAGTTCGTCCTTCTTTGACATGCAATCTAAGATGTCACACATTAGGCAACCAGTACCAATCTTGTGCTAAAACTTGGTTATCACGTGTGATCTTTCTTTATAACTTCTCATTTTCTCATCAGAGTTTGGGAAGGAAATAAGGCCTCGAGATACATCAAACACAATCAAAGTAGGATCAGAAATCATGTCATTTTGAACAAAATCTAAACAAAGTTATTGTTTTGTGAGATTGTTGCAGTTTGAAACAGTTCACCAAACAAACTTTTATGTGGTCTTTAAGCTACCTTTGAGCGACAATTGGTCTGTGTTGATTAATCAATCAGTGCTCTGGAACTCTACCTTCTTTGATGTGTAATTCTGAGATGTACCACAAGTGTAAACTGTTTCCAATGTTGTGCTAGAACTTGGATTGTTTGTGTTATCTTGCATTATTTCCTTATCTTTAACTCGGATAGTCAAATGGTGTAAAAATAATAATAATAATAATAATAATAAATAAAACAACAGAAATTGAATTCAGTACAATCTTGAGACCTGGTAGACAACTTTAATTACACTTTGAGAATCAATTAAAGTCCAGATGGGAACCACTTTCTTAATGGAAATGTTCATTTCTGCCCCAAAAATCTGTTCTAAAAACAATTGTTCATTATCATTGTATCAGAATAGTGGTCCCCAACCCCCAGGCTGCAAACCATTACCGGTTCGTGGATCAAATGGTATCGGGCCGCATAAGAAATCATTAATAACTTACGTTTTATTTAGTATCTGAGTCTGAAAAATCTTTTATTTTGATAAATGATGTATTCGCTCAGTTAGATCTCTGTCACTTGAGCACTAAAATTTAACCCACAAGCTAGCAAAATAACTAAGAAACAGACTTCTTTGGAAAGTTTTTTTATGAAAGGGAAAAGGCCCAGTGAAGGACCCACGAATTGCCAAGGAATTAATCCACAACCTGCTTTGTCAACAAATCAGGTGAATCCAACATGCCTGTGCAACAAGAGCAACTGCTCGAGTTCGCAAATGATCAAATGATGGAGGGTTTAGGGCAGGGATGGGCAACCCTGCTCCTGGAGAGCCACCTTCCTGCAGATTTCAGTTGCTACCCATATCAAACACACCTGGACCAATTAATTAGGACCTGAACACCACGTGATAATTACAGGCAGGTGTGTTTGATATGGGTTGCAACTGAAATCTGCAGGAAGGTGGCTCTCCAGAAACAGGGTTGGCCAACCCTGGTTTAGGGGCTCTTCACATATTGTGTCTTTTCAGCGTACAAGTTTATTATTTCCAATGGAGGTGCATGGCTTGCCTGCATATTGGGAGCAATGTGCACATGCGGCATGACACGCACCGTTCAAGCAACAATATCCAGCACAGAACACCCAAATACTGCTGTGCTTTTTTTTATTTATTTTTTTTTTCCATAAATATTACTTGTTTCAGAGTTAGAGCAATGTTTTATCAGCTTGTCATCCTCTGAGAAAACGATTGATGGCGGCCGAGCAATCGACATATACCCACCCCCAGACCATGGTAAAACTTTAAAGCATTGACCAGTGGTGATAAAAAGGTTGGGAGCACTGCATTAGAAGACAAGAATTTAACAGATTAATTCATGCGAACTACTTTTGCAATGTCTTTTTGTACATTTAATCATGTGTTCTTTCAACAGACGGACAGAAAAACTCTCCAAATTTATTGTGTCCTGATTTCAAAGATGATAGAGTAAATAACGATAACTTTTTAATTGTGTATCCTAACTCTTTCATACAAACATTCCTAAATTCACCCAATCTTTTTGTCATAATGTAATTCATAAAGGGGCGTTCAAGCTGACAGGGATTTGATATGACAACAGACCAGAAGTCACTTGTTCTCAAGGGAGTTTGTGATTTGCAGCGACATGAGCAATTGAGACCGTTGGCGATGCACCAAAGTTGAGCCGAAATGTATGCAAATAAGCAGTGATGCGTTCTAACTGTTCTCTTGCAGGTCAACTACTGTCAGGCAAACTGCGTACTTGTTTGAAATGCTACTTTTCTGCCCTGAAGGACAAATAGCTTGAAACTTGCAATATCAAACTGTGGGCTTTGATTCTTCAAGGATTAGACAAGATCAAATGACCCGGGAAAAGAGTCGCCATGTATGCCAACAACCACAAAGCTTGAGAAAAAAAAACCCTCATTCTCCATCCTTTCAGTGCATCAATTGAGCTGCCCTTGCTCTTTGCTTGGCTCAGGTTATAACTGCCCCATAAGTCCATTGGAAGGGTCCCTCTGGGCCCTTCAGAATCATTAGTCTGGACAACTTGTTTGGTCAACTGGAAATAAAATCACTTAAAGGTGTAAAAGGTCAAAAAAAAAAAAAAAAAAAAAAGGAGATGGGAAAAATCAGATGAAATGAATTTGACAAAAAATGTAAATATTATTTGATATTTGCTTGAATGGACATACAGTGGTCAGCAGATACGAGCACACCCCTTACAAATATTTCATTTAAATTCATATTTTATATAGAAAGCTTTACAATTTTATAACTGTGCATTTACATTAGATTAGTCAGTACTGAAGCCAAATCTAGAGCTTATCTAACAAAATAAGTTATGATAACGGTCTAAAATTAGTACACCCAAAAAGATGTACTTTTTAAGGAAAAATATTATTATATTATTATTAATTATAATATTATTATAATATTATTATTATTAAAATATTATTATATTATTATTAACATCCACATATATATGGATGTATACACACACACACACATTTTTTTTTTATGTTGTGCATGAATTGAAACGTATTACTGTTTTATGTCTAAAGATGTTGGTAACAAAAATACTATTTTAATAAATATATAATTTATAAATCTGTTTTTTTTTTTTTTTTTTTTTCAAATGCAACAAAATATATTACCTATATTTACTAACATGGAATAAAAATGGATCAAAATATTAATTTTCAAAATGGGGTGTACCTATTTATGTTGAGCATTGTTTGTGTTATACAATTATGCCAGTTGGTAAATCCCCCACAGTAGCTACATGTTCACATACACCTACTTTTATACACATTTTGGAACATCGCATAAAAACCGAAGGGTTTTTGAAATATTGCATAACCATCAAAGGGTTTTTTTTTTTTTTTGTGCTGCAGAAACACAAGCAACATTTTAAAAACAGTTTTTGCAGCACATCTTCTTTCAGTCGGTCAATTTGATACAGATATCCCCACTAAGCATGAGACAATAACCTTTTTTAAGGTATACGATAGTTTTGCAAAAGTCAAGGTTTTAAAACCGCAAAAATGATCTGCTATACCATTCCACATTTTGTTTTAAGTTTTTTTTTTTTTTTAGGACAAAAATCAGAATCTTATATCGGCCAATGCCTAATCCCCACTGCACTGTTATTTTAGCAGATTATTTTTTGACAATTGTATGATATTGCCATGCCCCTGCTTTACTGTGATTGGACTGCTAACTCAAACTGATGGGTGCTGCATTTGTGTAACTTAAAAAAAAAAAAAAAAAAAAAAATGAAAAACTGAAAAAACTAATGGCTCAGCAATGACCGCTTGGTAAACCGCACTCATTCCAAAAAACAACAACAGAAAACAAATGCTTAGCTCGGGAAAAAAAAGCTTCGAAGGACACTAACCCTAATGGAAGCATAGGAAAACTGAATGTAATCCCAAACCATGATTTTTCCTTCACCAAACTAGACTAGATTTCTGTGAGAATCTTAGGTCCATGTGGGTTCCAATAGGTCTTCTGCAGTATTTGTGATGACTGGGATGCAGTTCAACAGATGATTCATCAGAAAAATCTACCTTCTGCCACTTTTCCAAATAATCAACTTGAAGTCAACTTGAAGTTTGTTGCTCTTACAACTGTCTTACAGTTGTTGTTTTTTTTTTTTTTTTTTTTTAAATCTGATTAATACAATTTGGTCATAAACTAAACTAAACTAAACTAAACTAAACTAAACTAAACTACTGAAAAATAAAATCCAGTGCACACATGAAAAAAGTCATATGAATTGCTTTTAAAAGATCATATGATAACAAAAATAGTTGTGATGGGATGACGGACAATCCAGTGGAATGGCCACATTGTAAAACACATGAAATGTTGTTTTGTTCATTCTACAATCCCTCGGTCAAAATCTAAAGTGCTTCAGTATTATGACCTCAAGAATTGTTTTGAGCAGCTGCTCTCCCAAAAAAAGCATGCACCTTCCCAAAAAGTCATTGTGTTTCGAAGTGCAAGTAATTTATTATATTAATAAAACACTCATAATGGCCCATTTTTCTTTGTGGCATGTATCGCCAATATATCAGAAAGTGACAATTTTTTGATCTCTTTAACTCATTAAATGGAAACAGTGATGTTTAGCACATTCGTTTTTAACATAAATCTAAATCGCATCTTTAGATAAAACAAAGGTATTGGCTTAACGCTAAAGAACAGAAACACAGGTGAGTTTTCACAGCAGTGTTGTTTTAGCACTCAGTCAATATCCTATATCAAGAGAGTGTTATATATCTCATATAGCTGAAGTGTTATTGACTTACCGATATATTCGAATACATAAACAACGAAGAAGGGTGTCACAAGGTCATTGATGCCCTGAACGTAGCCGCTTGCTGGATGCCGTATTGCCCAGATAAACAGAATCCGCTCGAAGATCTACAAAAAGACATGATATTTCAGAACACTTATTCAGCATTCATAGCAAACAGAAGACATTGATATATTTTAAAATTGCAATACCACATGGAAACTGTTAGTAGAAGAATTTGTGCGTACAAGGTCACTCAAATGGTTTTAATTAGAGACACAGTGGGATCAGCCACCCCCAGCCAGCAATCAATTAAGAAAATCAATTAAGCCTTCAGAGCCTTTTTAATCATTAACATCACAACATTCGATAGAGCAGACAGCAAGGTGAGAAATTACAAGCAGCCGCGTGCAAATTTATTATTAGATGGCGCTCTTTCTTTATATGTGGATTGCCAGGTGTGTTCTGGATGTGTATAATTGCGTGTTATAGTACAACACCGCTAGTGACCAGTCACATTTCAGAGTTACTGTTTAAAACCTAGGGTTTCTTATTTTACGGGCAAATTATGTTTGCATTTTAAGTATAACTTTATAATATGTTATATATAATATATAACATATTAATATTATTTAATATAACACAATTATATTATATTATATTATATTATATTATATTATATTTTAGTATATTATATTATATTATATTATATTATATTATATTATATTATATTATATTATATTATATTATATTATATTATATTATATTGTATTATAATATATTATACTATATTATATTATATTATATAACATGCTATATTATATTATAGAATGCTAATATCTGCACATGTTATAGTATTTTTTTTACTTAATTATTATTATTTCTCCAAGTTTGAATAGGACTGCATATTTGTGGTTTATATACATATATATATATATATATATATATATATATATACACACACACATATATACACACACACACACACATATATATATATATATGATTCGTATTAACATTGTCATCAAAAGCATCTTTCAATTCAAAACAAAACTGTATTTTCTGACATATTAATAGGCATGCTTGTGTATATCATTACAGAAGACATTGTAAGCATTAGTCGTAACTGTAAGTGAAAGTTGGTTAATTGTGAGCGTCTTTGCATTGCTTTCACCCTCAGGGTTCAAAATGTACATTGTGTTTACTTCACACATTGTGACATGGCAAATGACTACAGCAATCAATGATGTGTCAAGTGTCTCATGGTTATGCATGAGACTGCGTGTCCGTTTCCTATGAGAAGACACTTTGATTTAATTATTAGCGACAGCATGTCTTGATTTCCAATATGACACATTTAAAACTATAAGATTGAGTACACACTGCACAAAAATGCTTTTCTTACTTAGAATTTTTGTCTTGTTTTTAGTTCAAATATCTAAAAATCCTTAAATCAAAAAGCTTTTTCTAGACATGTAAAAATAAATAGTCTTTTTTTCAGGAATAATATGTTGAAATTATGTTAGATTTCCTCAAAGCAAGCAAAATAAGCTGCCAAAGGTGCAAGCAACAAGGAAATAAGCTTGTTTTTGCTTTTAATTAAGATTATTTTGCTCTTCAACAAAAAAATGTGATTAATTTAATTCATAAGGGTCTTTTGTTTCTACTTTATATAAAAGATCATAAAGGCATAAGGGGATAGTTTACCCTAAATGTTTAATTTTGTAATTATTTATTCACCCTTTACTTTTTTTTAAAACCTATTTGAGTCCCTTTATTCTGTTTAACACAAAGACGTGTCAAGATGGCACCAGTATGTGTGGCTTGCCGTCTGAACCCTCAACGGTTGTTTTGAATATTAATATCAGTTTCATTCTTTGTGGCTCAATATTCTGAGGGTCTGTTGGTTTATGATCGCCAAGTGCTCTTGAACATTAGAAATGGTAGGGTAAATTGGCTGATCGGTGGGCCGAGTGGACGCTGCACCTGCAAAGGAAGATATTTTGAGAAATTCTGGTTGCTGTCACCCATTGAGTTCCACAGCATTTTTTTTAAATATATAATTTCTATATTCATAATATGATTTAAATGGTATATTAATAAATGTTCGAACAGTTGACTAATGGCTTAAAGTGAACGACCACTACCAGTCAACCAGTAAAGTCTTTAATCAAGAGCTGCCTCTTGAGTATAACCACATTTAAGTTTATTTTAAATTTTTAAAAAAGTAGAATGTAAGTCTCTAATATCTAATATGGTTATGAACATTAAATATTAGCTTTGTCACTGATAACAATTTTTAAAAAAAAGTTTAAAACAAAATAGTAAATGATTAATTGAAACATTTGCTACTTGGCAAAATCATGTGCATTCCATCATATTCAAGTATGTCTTTTTTTTTTTTTTTTTTTTTAAGATTTATTTTTGACCTTTTTGTCTTTATCAGATAGGACAGTATTGAGACAGGAAGCGAAGTAGGAAAGGGAGGTAGGGTTGGGAAATGTCCTCGAGCTGGGATTCGAACTCGCGATGCCCTGACGTGCTACCATGTTGGTGCGCTAACCACTAAGCTATTACGCCGACATGTATGAGGTTTAGATTCTAACGTCAGCTCTTTCTATTTCAAACGTTGTTTTTTAACTAGATCCTTAGAAACTTTTGTGGGACTTCTTTCCTTTCTTTAGTGGCAAAACCTAAATTCAAAGCTATGGTGACTTTTTTTTTCCCCTCCCCATGTGTCAAGTCAGAAAACTTTAAGTTTGACTTAAATCAAGAGGGAAAACGCGAGTCTCTTCTTTTCTTTCCGACGCACACCACTGACATCTCCCGCACTCCTTTCAGGGCGTAATGTATCTGTCATCCCCAAATAAACTCATCTCTCACGTTGAGCCCTAAACAATAAATGTGTACAAGGCAGCTCACGCTTGCTTTTTACAGACCCTGTCGATCAAATGGAGCGGCTTTCTCATCTGCGTTCTATTCTATGATCAAAGCTCCATTTATCAAAGACTTTAGACTGGTAATGTGGCTTTTTCCACGTAACTGACATCCTCCTGCCTCTTTTCTCTTTCCAACCATCGATGTAGGCATGAAAAGATCTTGCTCTTCTCCAGAAGCCCAGCACATATTAGCAGGAATCAGAAATCAATGAGTGAGCTGGAGTTTACTGAAGCGCCTGGAGCGAATACAAAAGCCATGTATTTAGTTAGCAGACATAATATATAACTTTAAGGTACCCGTATGGATTCTTAAGATACTTAAGATGTACCCTTTAAGTACTAATGTTTACAATTTGTAATGGTACTATCGCAGTGACAGCTTTTGTATCTTGAATCCTAAGAGATGCAAAATATGTTTTGTTTTTTTATGTTCTTTTTTTTTAATCCACAGGATATGGTGAAGTTAATCACACTGTTCAAGAGGGACAGCTTGTTAACGGCAGGTCTAATACATTATGCAGGACATGCAAACTCTCGCCCATCCTTTATCGACCCCAAATAGCAACTTCACACAGACACTCAATCTACTGTTAACCTAGAAGTATGTACGCTATTGAAATGTCTGTGGAGAGTATGGAAGATGAACAGGCGAACAGGTCAATTTTGATCCTACAGACAATAGTAATACATCTTCCGAATCCCTAAGACTTTACATGATTATCTTTGTGTACTCGCAACAACAACACATTGCACTTAATAATAAAAACAAATTGGCCTTAAAGACATACAAATATATCCAGTTGAAGTCAAAATTATTAGCCCTCCAGTGAAATTGTAATTATTTTACAAAATATTAAAATATAAGGGCTGTGTGATGGAGTGAAGATTTTCATTAACTTATTTCTAGTAACTTATTTCTTTTGTTTTTGCCATGATGACAGTACATATTAGCTTAATGGTTATTTTGCAAGATAGCATTCGGCTAATTTCTTTGTCAACAACAGTATATTTATGAGAGCAAAATGCCTACTTTCAAATGAACCAATTCAAAGGTCACTAGAAAGCACTAGATTATCAATAAGTTATTAAAATGTTAATGAGGCCTCCCTATGTGTTTTCCCTTCCATGTTCATAATCATTACTGTCGTTTTCCTGTGACGAGCCTTTTTTATGTGCTTATTAGGCACTTGTAGGCAATTAAAGTCTCGGTATTATGATTTAAATAGTATATTATTAAATGTTTCATTTGTTGTCTAATTGCATACTACAAGTCAAACAGGTATGTCTATATACATAGCTTAAAAAATATATAAATAAAAATCAAATTAAGCATTAAATTAAATCAGACTTTAAATCTTGCCATTCGAAATTGAACATACCAAAGCAAATCAGGGTTTGGAGCAAAAATTTGGTCTCTCACTTCCCTTCATAAGCTGTACATTTGAGATAGCTGTATAAATAGGGAACGAAGAAAGAGTGTTTGCTTTTTGCAGTTTGATGCACTAGCGAAACAGATGTTGAGAGAATTGTTTTATTTTTTTGCATGGCGTCATTTAAAATAATATCAGTGACAGCATTCGTTCATAGCATAGCATTCATAGCCAAGCTTCAGTTAATAAGTTAATAAGAAGTACTCATGTTACTTATTTATTATTCAATAAATTACGTAATAATTGTATTTTATTAGCCCTACCTAAACCTAACCCTCCCATTAATGTAAGAATATTTTTTGTTGTACAGGGTCACAAAAATGATGCTGTATTAATGTATCCTCAGCTGTATCACATCTAGACTTCACCATGCTGCTGGAGAGGGTAAAGATAAGATGGGATACAGCTGAGAATACTCATTGACTCATAGTATTTCTTTTCCCTACAATGAAAGTCAGTGGGTATCATCAAGCAGCATTTTTAAGTTAACTTTCCTTTTGGGTGAACTACCCCCTAAAGTATAAAGTGTTTTTGCTTTAACCACTTACATGTCATCAACAGTAGAACCCATTTCATGTGCAAAATTTAAAATAGAATATCAGCAAGAAGATTTTCATATTTATTTTTACACATCGAACCTTTTTTTGAATGCTGAAAGTGTGCATTACTACAAAACAAAGCCTTTTTAAATTTGGCATGCTCAGTATTGGCTATTATTGTTGGCTGGGTGTGAGTTGTGAGGATGAATAGGGTCGAGCTGAGTAAAATAGGTGTTGCAAAGGTCTCACCTCTTGCACAGAAGCTTGTTGAAAGAGAGGTATAAGAGGATTAGTTCTCGGTATGTCAATGTGAATCTGCAGGGAAGAGACACAAAAAGAGGGGCACAAGCAGGTTAGGACAGAACGGACTAGCAAGAAAAGCTCGGAGAGAAACCAGCCTGGCCTTTGGGGCTGTGTCTGAGAAGAATCTCATGGATTTCTTTTACTTCCTTTTTAATTTTTAAAGGCATTCTACTTCCTTTGTACCTTAACACATGTTTTTCATCAAACAATTTTTAGGGTTGTGACTCAGCTGGCCGACCAGACAGACAGTTTGACTGACAGACAGACAGACAGATAGATGATTGATGATTGAGTGACATGCTTTTTTCGGGTGACTGATGGACGTTACTTTAGGCACTCCATCTGTCCTCTTACCTCAGTTACCTTGGGCTGCAGAACTAAACTTTCCGGACTCATCCGGGGAATATCTATGTGAATCTGATGGTTCAGAAAACACACACAAACACACATATATACAAAATATGGAGATGACAGAGATGACAAACACAAAAAAATGCACATATCTATTTCTACTAACAGGGGAGGGATTCAAATCCACCATTCTGCAAAATCATTAATTCTAAAGAAACTGGCTATTAAACATTTTTTAAAAACATATGCTTGTATTTTTAATATAATATAATATAATATAATATAATATAATATAATATAATATAATATAATATAATATAATATAATATAATATAATATAATGTTAAATTAAATTAAATGAATAAATTGAATTAAATGAATGAATTGACTTAAATTAATTTAAACTAGATTAAATTAAACTAAATTAAATTAATAATGTAATGTAATATAAATGGTATGGCAGCATTCAATAATAACCATAATAGAACAGAAAATAATAATAATAAAAATAAATAATTTTATTATGAAGATTTCAAAAGGGTCACGATTAAAATATTCAGAAGGAATAAATGAATTAAATATTAGGAATAAATTAATTAAATTTTAAAAAATCCAATAATGTGGGACAATTTTACATTTTATTTATTTATTTATTTATTTATTTATTTATTTATTTATTTATTTATTTATTTGTTTGTTTGTTTGTTTGTTTGTTTGTTTGTTTGTTTGTTTGTTTGTTTATTTATTAAATAAGTGATAAAATATTATTATTATTATTATTATTATTATTATTGTTATTGTTATTGTTATTATTATTATTATTTTCTTACTTTCTATCAGCTTATTCCCTGCTTTATTAGAGTTTGCCACAGTTGAATAAACCGCCTATTATTGTTATACTATTATTATTATTTTTATTGTACAACTTTTTTTTTCTTTTTTTTGACAAAACAGGTAGACATTTATCAAATCAGACTGACAGCAACAGCTTGATCAAAATATCAAACTCAGTCTTTTGGTGGCATTTCTAAACATTGGCAAAGCTAACATACTGCTGCTGCCAATACCTCAATCAGTAGGTAAACACGACCAAAAACACTGATACATTACATTACACTTCTGGCACAGCTGAACTGCTGGCTCTGAACTAAAAAACAAACAAACAAAAAAAAACTTCTATTACAGGCAGAATTTGCAGTGGCCGTGCAGAGATGTACAGGAAGTCAGGAAGTTAAAAGGAAATCACAGGAAGTCCTGAATCATCTCCAGGGTCTTTGATTCAGCTAATTATTGCCATAATCTTGCAGAAAGTTCAATAAAAAGTAGAACTTTATAGTACTGCGGCAGGCCTTTTTCACAAAGAAGATCTCATATTTACAGGAAAAATGTGAATTGCTTTCCATCAAAAAACATTTTTTCCAGAAATGTTACATCAATTCATCAAGAGAAACTTAATAAATAGTATCATTAGATTATTTTTAAAATTCAAATACATTATAATATTGTTTGCAAAAGACTAGCCATGTTCTGTACACAACAATGATCCATACAGAATACCTTTAAATGCCAATCTTTGAATAAATACTTACAGGTTGTAGACAAGCTATATATATATATATATATATATATATATATATATATATATATATATATATATATATATATATATATATATATATATATATATATATATATATATATATATATATTAGGGATGTAACAGTATTGTAAATACCGTCATACCGCAATATTAATTTTTTCGATAATACCGAAGTCGCATGACTCGGTAAAACTATAGGTCTTCTGAGAAATTTTGCTCAGGCGAATAAAGCGAACGGAAGGTAACGAAAACTACAATTGCCATCAGCCCATGCTTGACCATCATCCCTTGCGGTCTGTTGTTGCTACAGATCCAGTAATGCGGAAATGGAGTGTGCTGCTAGAAGCGGGGATGAAAAGAGCTGGAAAACTCTAAAGCAGGTCGCACACCAGAAGCGCCGCTTGGCGCCGCGACACGGCGCGTACATGACAGATTAAAGTATCGCACACCAGACGCGCACATTCGAATGATATTTAACATGAAACTAATCAGATGGCGCTCTGTGGCGCGGCTGAAAAATGAACTGCGTCCTGAGCCGTCGCCGGGCGCCGCCGACAGCCGCCGACTTGCGGCGCCGGTGTGTGTATCCTGATAGAAACCTATGATTAGAATTCTAAAATACATGGCGCTGCGTGGCGCTGCGCGGCGCGCCGCCGAGCGTCGCTTCTGGTGTGCGACCTGCTTTACACGCACAGTTCAGTCCCGCATCTTCTCCGTGTAAGTTCAGACTTCGCAAGTTTGATCAAGGCTGCAGTCTCTTCTTCTCAGTTTGATATGGAAAAGCAGACTATACCGAGGACACGGGTAAATCTTCAAAGGGAACAGTGTACTTTATAACTTCATTCACATCACCCTGGCTTCGTTGTTTCACTTTCTCAACAATAAACTGTAAACATGATTTAAGGAACTGCCTATTTTCATTTTAATATTAGCAACTTAGACAACAGAAATGTTGAGGCGTCGTGCTGCATAAGATGAGCGTCATTTTCACTGTGTGAATATTTATAACAAAACGGAGCCGATAACAACTGCCTCCTTTCAATTTCAGTGAAGATACGAAGTTTTAAGAATCGATAATGGCCATTTTAAAAGTATAACATACAATAAGTTTATACATTATAGGAAATAAAGGCAAGCGATCAGTCAATATACAGAATGTACGTGGTTACATTAATCATTAACTTATCTTTGCGCTCAGCCAAAACACGTTACCTGAGAACAAGTAATAGATTCCAATGCCCAAAGTCAGGGAATATGTCGTTAGATAAAGACAACAAGATAAATGAAATATCCCGTTTAATAAATATAGTGAGATTAGATCCAGCGGGAGATGCTTGATGAGAAGTCCGACTAGCAGAGCTCTCATCTGTGTAGATGGGCTGAGTGTGATTAAATGTTGAATGTGATGAGTTTTCAACAATACTAAATTGAAACTTTATTTTTTTACATGGTTTAATAGTTTTTTGTTATTAAAATTGAAGTTCCTGTTTCAAAGCTTACAGATAGATGGCTTATTTGTATGTCATTGACACTTTTGGCACTTTTTTGGAGTATTTTCATAAGTTTTGTTTTTTCCTGTAAATGATTCAATAAATACCGTACCGTGACATTCATACCGAGGTATTACCGTACCGTGAAATTCTGATACCGTTACATCCCTAATATATATACATACATACAGGCCTTAACATTAACGTTTTTGACCACCGCCCACTGTGGCTTGTAGTTGTCCAACATTACTAGCCACTCACCATTTTCACTAGCCACAATTTTATTGTTGGGAAAATATATTTTATACACATAAATATGACATGCTAAAATTACTTGATTTAGTTTGCGTTATCTCTACATGCCTCCTCATTCATTTCATTTTTTTGTGTGTCGTGTATGAGCTTGCTCAATAATCATGAGCAAATGGGTCAGGGTTTCATAATTTTCAGAGACCAAAATGAAGGATTTACCCAATTTATCTCTGACCACACCATAAATAAACTGTTGCTTATTTCTTTGTCACAAATTTTAAATGTGTGAAAACATGCAAAATATAGCTGAATACTATACTTTTTATTTAACAAAACATATGCACAGTCATATGTCCTGGCTAAAGGTCCTAGATCACCCGTTAACTACACATAAATGGGGAGTTATTCTCCCATTAAAGCAATGTCATTGAAAAAAAAATGATAATTAAACCATATTAATGCAAAAGAAAGCAGGTAAAAAACATACTGTGTGATAATAAAAGGATGATCACACACGCATGGTTAATGATAGACCCATAAATTATCTGTTCAAAGAATGATTAAACCGAAAGCAAATGGCGCTGCTTACAATAAGTCAACTCTGGAACTCTTGAAAGCAGCAAGACTGTAGGTGCATGTTTCTCCCTTTTTGTTCAATCTATTTGAAAGTGAATCGATCGCATCAGTTGTGTTTCTAGTCACAGTTGCTTCACAAAAGGAAACGGGAGCGCGCACGAGTTATAAACAGTCGCGCGCATCACCTCAGCTGTTAGCGCGAGCGATTATCCTCTCATTCGCAATTATTTTTGTCAGTTGTGTTGCTTCTTGATCGCCTGTGCATGCATATTGGATCATCCCTATTGTCGAACCCTGCTTTTAAGAATTATTATCTGGGAAAATAACTTTTAACCAGCCAAAGTGGCTAGTGGGAGTGTCTGTCTTACCCGCCACCACCGAAATCTACCCGCATTTGGCGGGTGTTAATGTAAAGTCTTGTTTATATATATATATATATATATATATATATATATATATATATATATATATATATATATATATATATATATATATATATAAATATAAATATTGTTTATAATGTATATATCTGTGTAATTGTTATTCCTTACTCTTTCACCCCTAAGCACAACAGAGACCCTCTGACCATATGTTCCCAAGAAAATAAGTTTGCTACATCCACCTAATGCGCTTGAAAATAGACAGTGGGCAAGCTAAAGCTGCGAGAGTTGCTTGGAAAGGGAGATATTTAGAGCAAAGACAATGCACACTTGCATTTAATTTATGCATCACACAGTATTACAGTACTATGTTATCACAAATTGTTAAACAAATGATATTTTGTTGAATAAGGGATTTGAAATGGGATATTTAGACGTCAGTTGTGGGTGATGACCACATGGTGCAACTCTTCCCCAGAGAGAACCTAAGGCCCGGTTTACACTAGTGCGTTTTAGTTTTAAAACGGCGTTTTAGAATGAAAACGATCCGCGTCCACACTCGCGTTTTACCCAGCGTTTCTGAACTGCTCTCCGTCCACACCAAAACGCTGAAAACGCACATCACGTGACCACACACACTTTCTTTGGCAAGCGCTGCAGCCCATCTACCCAGATGAGAGCTCTGCTAGTCGGACTTCTCATCAAGCATCTCTCGCTGGATCTAATCTCACTATATTTATTAAACGGGATATTTTATTCATCTTGTTGTCTTTATCTAACGACATATTCCCTGACTTTGGGCATTGGAATCTATTACTTGTTCTCAGGTAACGTGTTTTGGCTGAGCGCAAAGATAATGATTAATGTAAGCACATACATTCTGTATATTGACTGATCGCTTGCTTTTATTTCCTATAATGTATAAACTTATACTTTTATAATGGCTATTATTGATTATTAAAACTGATATTCAGCAAAAGAGAGGGTATGTTTTGTATTTTCACTGAAAGGAGACAGTTGTTATTGACTCCGTTTTGTTATAAATATCCACACAGTGAAGATGACGCTCATATCTGCAGCATGACGCCTCAGCATTTCTGCTGTCTGTTTAGTTGTTAATATTAAAATGAAAATTGGCAGTTCCTTATATCATGTTTACATTTTATTGTTGAGAAAGTGAAACAACGTAGCCAGGGAGATGTGAATGAAGTTATAAAGTACACTGTTTTCTTTGAAGATTTACCCGTGTCCTCGGTATAGTCTGTTTTCCATATCAAACTGAGAAGAAGAGACTGCAGTCTTGATCAAACTTGCAAAGTCTGAACTTACACGGAGAAGATGCAGGACTGAACTGTGCGTGTTAGGCTACTTAATATTGAGGAAAAGCCCCAATCAGAGAGGCGAATGTCGCCAGCCCCGCCTCCGTTTTCAGATGTCTCCATTTTCCATCATCCACACTGAGACGGAGCAGCAGCGTTTCAGAATGAAAACGGCCTCTCCAGCATTTTCAAAACGCTCCGTTTTCGGCGCTCGAGAACTCCGGCGTAGTGTGGACAGATGGCGTAACCGCAGCAAAACTTATGCGTTTTCAAACTAAAACGCATTAGTGTAAACGGGGCCTAAGAGACAGGCTGCAAATGCTGTTTGGATAATCTTTGATCAACACCTTGAGCACCGGAGTGCATGTGTCGACACACTAACCACTACACCACTGGCGCCGACATACATTTTAATCTTTAATAAATAACAATAAACTGTTATGTGACTATTGCAGATACACACATTGCGATATCGATGCTCAAATTATATATATTGTTTAACCCTAGTCTATAGCGGTCTATGGAGAATGAGGAAGCTCTCAGCGATTCTATGTAAAGTATCGTAATTTGTGTTCCAAAAATAAACAAAGGCCTCTGGGGGTTGGGATGACATGAGGGTGAGTGACAGAATTTTCATTTATGGGTGAACTAACCCTTTAAATATTCAAGCAGATCTTAACGGTGTAAAGTAAATTATAGAAAGGCAATGTCCATCTTATTTCTGGAAAAAGCGATAGAGGCATCTAGAGCTAAATGTAGTCTGTTACCTGTCTATAAGTGTCCTGATGGTGCTCGTCATTCCGGGAGTCGTAGTACTGCTCAATGAATCCGAAGTATTCCTGCCGTTTCCTCTGCAGCGTGCTTTCCCTCCGCTCCGCATTAGCTGGCAGGTACCCCTGAAAATACACAAACAAACAAACACACAAGCTAATGTTTACAGCAGGCCAGACAAGATCCTTCTAAATCAATCTGATATAGATTCTGCCTCCTCCAACTAAATGTTTGTTTGCCTGCTGTAAAAGTTCCGAGCTTTCCAAGAGTTTGAGGTCAGTGAAGTTGATATCAGTCACATTTAAAAGTTACATTTCCTCTTATTACTGCCATAGCGGGAGAATGAGAGCACAGCAGATGTTCAGGCCCAGAAAAGAAAGTCTCTTGATAAAGTAATTGATTGCAGGAAAATCTACAAGCACTGAAATCCATTTATCACACAAGACGCTTCCCCATGTGGCTATTTTTTACTTCCGCACTCAGACGAGTTCTGTGACAAGACGTATGTGTGCCAAGCAGCGCTCTTCTCTGCGCTCCATTAGCATATGTACATGTAATTAAATCCAAACATTAGAAGGGATGTTCAGATTATTAAAGGAAAAGCAGTTAGGAGTGGTCGTTATTTCACCGATCGAGGAAGATGGGAGTGCTTTTACAAATGTATTGGCACTTTGACCTTATGGACTTTATTGATGGTATTCAATAGGGTATTTGGGTAGCTTTTATTTCCAAATTAACAAGTTATTTTACTAATCCATATGACATTTTATAGAATATTTGATGTAAACATGTTTAATTAATCTGTTACAGATTAATTTTCTTTAATATTTTTATTTAATATGTTTATTTGGCTTGAATACCAAACTGTAAAACATTTGCCTGCTAACCTCTGCAATGTTAGCTGAAACTTTTCAGTCTGTTTAAGTACTTCCAACTGAAACTGAAAATTGGCGGGGCTTTCTTTTTGCTCATCATTCCCTTGTTACAGACTAATGGTAAGAGGCGTGTGGTTAAATGGCATCAAACTGAAGTCAACAGGACAACCCCTATTACAAATGGTCAAACTCTCATTGAAGATGACCAAAACAACCTTTATTTTCAGTGAATTAACTTGTATGCATTAATTATTTACCTAAAAAATAACAATGTGCACTAGGAAAATAAACATTGTAAATTTTGAGAAAAATTCATGTAAAGAAACTTTTGAGAATTGTTTCTAATTGCATTAGAAATATTGTAAATGTACAGCTGAAACACAATACAAGGTCTCTAAAGCAGAGTTGCCCAAACTAGGGCCCGCAAGCCAAAATTGGCACATGGTCACCTCTGAGTTGACCATTGCCATCCCATCTGAAAAGAGAGGGAGAATGATTGGGATGGTTTTGAAATTGTCCATTTAAATTTAATGTAACCCTTTGTTTTATTGTTAAAAGCTGACAGAAATTAAATGTTTAAATTAAATGGTGGAAATTAATCAGATTTTGTTTTTTATACTTCACCCGATAATGCAGTGACTTTGGTGTAAAAGGCAGATTCTGCTTGACTAGTGTATTCAGCATTGAAAGCCATTGTTTTTATCACAATAAGTTATCATTTAAAAAGTTATACTATTGTTAATGCATATATAACATAATGTTTTTTACTTATTTTGAAATATTTAAAAATAAATTAGTAAGTTACCCATGGCAACTTTAATGTAATATAGCTTGGTATATTTAACTTGGGCCCATGGCTCATAATGATATTTGGTGTTTGGCCCTTTATATGAAAAAGTTTGGGCATCCTTGCTCTAAAACAGGGGTCATGAATCTCGGTACTGGAGGGCCGGTGTCCCTGCAGGGTTTAGCTCCAACTTGCCTCAACACACCAGCCTGGGTGTTTCAAGTATACCTCATAAGACCTTGAGTAGCATGCTCAGGTGTGTTTGATTCAACACAATCTTACAGCAATTCGTAACTTTTTGATAAGTAACTTTTGGCTAATTCATATGAATTCATGCAATCTTATTTGTACAATTTAGTACAATTGCTCATCACTCAATGATGGTTGGGGTTAGGGGTGGGGTTGGGTGCCACGCCGCCTCCTTAAAAATCGTAGATTTTCGTACGAAACTGAACTCGTACGAATTTTTACATATTAGCCATTAAACGGAGAAAACATAAAATACATTTCCTTGTGAGATCAGGCTGGTTTGATTAGGGTTGGAGCTAAAATCTGCAGAACACCGGCCTTTAAAGAACAAGTTTGATGAGCCCTGCTCTAAAGTATGTAGAACTTAATAGTGGAGTTAAACTTAACAGGTTTTCACCAATTGTGTGTTCAAAACGTTTTGCACCTGGATGGGAGACCACATGGGAAAGCTAGGTTGATGCCAGAAGACTAGAGACTACCAGGGGGCGCTCAACCTGCAGTCTGTGTTGGGTTCTAACCCCCCAGTATAGTGAAGGGGACTCTATAATGCTCAGTAAGCGTCCTGACTCTCGGTGGTCATTAAAAATCCCCCAAAAAAGAAAAAGAGTAGGGGTTTAACTCCGGCACCATGGCTAAATTGGCCCACTGGCCTGTGTCCATCATGACCTCCTAACCATCCCCATATCATAACTGGCTTCATCAACCTCTGTCTCCTCTCCACCAATAAGCTTGTGTGTGGTGTGCTGTCTGTCTGGCTGCCATCGTGTCATTCAGGTAGATGCTGCACACTGGTGGTGGATAAGAAGACTCCCCAAAATTGCGTGAAGTGCTTTGAGTGTCTAAAAAAGCGCTATTTAAATGTAAGTTGTTATTATTATTATTATTATTATTATTAAAAGGGCGGTTTGATGACATAGTGGAGTACCAGAGAAGGGTTTAACACTATAAAAACTACTGCTTATTAGTGTCAATGGTCCTCCTATACTCAATCTTGAATTACCATGACCAGTTGTTTCGACAGCCTTTTCACAAGCTATCAGAATACATAGTTAAAAAGTGTTCACAAATCACTTTCTACTTTTTTGAAAAAGTATCAGAGCTGTCAACAAGAAGTATTTGTCTATTTGCAGTCTATTAGAGCGTGGTCAAAAAATAAAAATAAAATAAAAATTGTATGGCTGTATAAAGGCAATTAAGCAGCATTTGACAGTTAAAAGATGGCTGCATGTTCTCTAGAGAATATGCAGCATCACTTGATCAGATCCAAGACCTGTAAAGAAATGATGCCGATCATCCAAGGACTTTGAGGACCACACATACACTTAATACACAGATACACTATATTGAACATGTACACAAAATACATCACCTATATACGATATAACTGCATGTTAACAATGTTTACATATGATAACTTTAACTGATACATTTATTGGTAAACTGTAAAAGCCAACAATTAACTGTATCAAATGAAATGAGTGTAGTTAACTCAAAATTGACTAAAAGTTAATTCTACTCATTTGAAAAGAGAACGCAGTGTTAAAGGTAATGAGTTAATTGAATACCTCATTACTTCAACTTAAATGAAGCAAGTTCACAGTATTCATATAGATTACTTTTTTTTTGTTAGTTTTATTTTTTAACTCAAAATGGTTTGTTGCAAATGGTTTTCTCAAATGGTTTGAGTTGCCTTAACTTATTGAGTGTTATTGAGTTATTAGTAACTAAAATATCTAACTAATAACCTTAATATTTCTGATTGTAATGCAATAATGTGTACCTTTTGCAAAGCTGCTGTGAAACTATTATTACAGTGAAAAGCGCTACACAAATAAACTTGAATTGAATAGAATAAGGCACCATTTAGACCGTCTGGAATCTGGCATCAAAACAATGCTTCTGCAGACCTCGACCATGTTTAATAACTACCCTCAAAAGAATGAACTGTTGTTATTAATAACTTCCACAGAAGACGACAACACTGATCTAGCACTCACGTATTAACACCACATGAGGTGAAACAAACATGAAATGAAGTTGTTGTTCTCATTTTGTCGAGAAGAGGAGAAAGAGAGAGAGAACATGGCATTGTTCACAGCAGGTGCAGAGGTCCGGAACAACAGGCCGGTAATAAATGTTTCCCAGCAGCTGGGTTTGGATGAACACATGCGTAAGGTCTGTGTCCAGGCGCTGGCTCTGCATCAACCCGCTCCCACCTGCTCGCGACGGGACGCCATTACTCAAACACCTCGTATTAGTGCGACTGAAACCACCATTTAATCATCCGCACAGCTTTATCTTTTTATTTATTAAAGCCCACCGTGTGCTATTTCACCGAGTGTGGGTGGGTGCGAAAGAGATTGGTCTTACACCCTAAAAAACAAGTTACCACTGAGAATACCAGACACCGGGGTATGCTTTTTTTTTTTTTTCCTTTTATAGCTAAGAAATGTTATTTTGGAACAATCATAACTGCACTTTTAAACTAGAACAAGCCAATTTTTTCTGCAGTTACTGTTGTCACATGTACAAATAAACAAGGAAGCAGGCGGTTGTAGGTATAATTTCAACACAACTGGGCTGCTGTGAAAAAATAGTGGAGAGAAAATACAAGCACACTCTGATCGGCGCAATATGGCCATTAGAGCAAATGTACAAAAAATTTTATAAATAAATAACAATTTCTATATGTTGTCCCAACACAAATCAATTGAGTTAACTTCATTGTTTTAACAAACTTAAGTGGATTAAACATAAAACAATTAAAGGTGCAGTAGGCAATCTGCCAAAAAGCTAACCGTTAGTATAACAGCTTTGAAAACACAGTTCCTCCCCCTGTCATCCAAAGCCACGCCTCTTGAAATCACGAACATGCACCTTAAAGGGTCAATAGAATTTGATGCTGCACACAGAATGGGGAAAAAATGCATTTCTCAGTAGATGCAGAAACTCGGTAGGTGCATAGAATAACGCCAAACAGCCATGTGTGTATAGGCTATCCCATCTCAAAACGTTGCGAAAATCCTAAATGACAGTTATAGTTTGATTAAGGTGTTTACATGTTCACATTCAGCATTTACGGCAGATCTTTCAGTCTATCATATTGTAGTGGTATTACTGTAAACTTAGTAACTAAATCATTTTGACTAAGCTATGTCTTTAAAAAAACTGTACTGCTGACAATACTATTTAACTTTGCCATCTGAATAAATAT